ATATATTATATATATTTATATATATATATATATATATATATATATATATATATATATATATATATATATATATATATATATATATATATATATATATATATATATATATATAATATATATAATATATATATATATATATATATATATATATATATATATATATATATATATATATATATATATATATATATATATATGTATATATATATCCCAATGCTGTCAAGGAAAATTAATAAAAAATGGGGAAAATGCTGTGCTCATTTTTTATATTTTTCTGATAGTGCTTAGCCACAAAGGAGTCAATTAGTAGACATTGTGATCTTACCTGATTTCACTTTTCCTTGAATTGGTGGGAAAAACTTACATTCTATTAATGCTGTGAGTATTGATGGTGCTATTTTTATTATAAAAATTTTAATTACTGCAATGTTATAAACATTAGTAACAGGAAAATAAGATAAAGTATATTCGTAAATTAACCCATTCCCGACGGGCATTCCATGCCATGCCCACTGTCAGATTACTGGGTGGATTGTTTTTACACATAGATGGCTACACTTGTACTAAATCATCAATGAGCCAGTTACGAGTACCGCCTGTCTCGCCCGTTCACCCTTTTCTTTAATTTACGAAATATTTTACGTTATCTTATTTTGTTGTAACTAATATTAAAAAACATTATAAAAATTATAATGTTTATAATAAAAATAACACCATCAATATTTATGGCACTAGTGAAAAATACGTTTTTCCCACCATTTCACATCAGGCGCTAACAGAGCCATCTATGGGCAGACATTTAATAGAAAAGTATAGAAAATAGGCACAGCATTTTCCCCATATTTTGTTCATTTTCCCCGGCAGCAATGGGTTAAAGAAAAGAGTGAACGGGCAAGACAGGCATTACTCATAATTGGCTCATTGGTGACTTAGTACTAGTGCATCCATCAAGTAACAAGTAACTCACAGTGGGCATGGCATGTATGTACATGCCATGCCCATCAGCAGTACCTATTTATGTAAATGTATATTTAAAAAAATATAAATATATATATATTTAAATGCATATTTAGAAAGAAATAAATATATATATATCTGCAATATGTATATGACTATGTATATGACTACTTATATATTTATGTATATATATATATATATACACATATATATGTGTGTGTATGCGTTTATGTATTTAATTTTACTTTAATGTTCACAGAATGCTGTGAAAGTGACTACAACTTTGAATGTTATTGAGAATATTGCTCTTCTTGGCCTGTCCTTTGTCTCATCAAAAGAGAATTATGGTAAGTATTTTGTTATTTTTTATCTTCCAGGATGTAATGATTAAGAGGTATATTTCTTTTTGCATCTATCTTGTTACCATCAGTATTCTCTGGTGTTTAGAATTTGGACCTCCATAATCAGATGATATCTTGTTGAAATGAGAATGTTATTTGTGATACTTGCTGTACCTAACCCATAGGTGTCAGTTTTGTGAACAGTTTGCTATGGCTCCACAAGTACTCAGCCATCAAGAAGTCAATTAGTAGATGCTAATAACCTCCCCTGATTTTTTTTCAAATACTGTTGATATTGATACTGTTATTATGTAAACCCTGTATATCATTTTCACAGTGTAGACTAGGGGAATTAGATTAACCCATTGCCACAGGGGAAAATGAATAGAAAATTGGAAAAATGCTGTGCTCATTATATATATATATTTTTTTGTGAAATGTCTCTGCACATAAATGGCTCTGCTAGTGCTTAGCCACAAAGGAGTCAATTAGTAGACCTTGTGACCTTACCCGATTTCCCCTTTCCTTGAATTAGCGGGTGAAACATATTTTTTACTAGTGCTATGAATATTGATGGTGTTATTTTTATTTTAAACATTATAATTACTATAATGTTATAAACGTTAGTAACAGCAAAATAAGATAGTGTAAAATATTTTTGTAAATCAAAGAAAAAAATTAACTGGCAAGACAGGCAGTATTCATAACTAGCTCATTGGTGACTTAGTACAAGTGTAGCCATCTATGTGTCAAAACAGTTAAACAAGTAAATTCACAGTCGGCATGGCATGTACACATGTGCCATGCCCATTGGCAATGGGTTAATGATAGATCTTGCTTTTGACTTTTCCTGTGACAGTTGCAGATTACGATTTATGAATTATGAGGACACAACTTATGTACCTCTTACAAAACAAGATCTTGTTGGGAGTAAAGGCACAGAAGTACAGTACAGACAAAGGATAATGGCAACATTCTTTTTATTGGGGTATTGTGCAAAAGAACATTTAAAAAAGGGTGATCGTTGTATATCTGTGCGAAACTTAAGCTTACCAACAATTTATGCTAAAAGTTATTTAAAGAAACATTTTATAAGGAAATGATTGAATGACTGTCATCCTGTCAGTATTATTGCTGTTGTTGATTTTATTATTTTTATCATTATGTTATGATTATTAAATTGTCATTAAAATCTTGATAAT